CCTTGCTTGCATTGTGTGTCCAGCTGGGACATTGTACCTGTATTTAGCTGTAAGCTGCTTGGGGCAGGGACTGTTTTATATGCTTAGCACAGTTTGTGCTATAGTTCTTTATATTTGATATACAGAAAACTTATGCTATGAAATCAGTATATAATCCATTGATGCAAACTCAAGCAGACTTTATCTCACTGTGTTAATGAAAAAATGCCAGCATTTTTTTGCATTAAAAATCACTGTAGAAGAATTTCCAGATATAATGGTAGTGTTCACTTTGCCAGAAAAATATGATCTAAGGCAATGAAAGCTTCAGGAGGTAAAGCAGTGAATATTGTCTATATATCTTAAGTTTGCTTGCTGTAGTAGAGACAAGAGTATATTAGCACATAGGTACACCATTATAAGTGAAAAAGATCTACCTAAAAACTCTAGCACATCTTAAAAAATATATAGAAATTATTTGCAACTACATTTTTTAATCCTTCCAATTTGAGTAACATGCTTTATTACACCAGAAAAACACCCTCAACATTATTTCTATCTTCAAGTAATAGTCCCTGTATACATTTACAAAGAGATATATATCTACTCAACCAGTCCTCTGAGTTTCTCTTGGCCCTGTTCATCCTGAGGCATAACATTTTCCCTGGGTTGAAATGGAGTTTGGTAACTGAACTCTCTGGTAACAAGGACATTTCTGCCTTCTGGACAGTTTTTGGGTCGAAGGATTTGATTCACTCATTAGTTATTCACTATTACCATGAAATCCTGCCTAGAGTTTTTAAGATTTACGTCAGCATTCATCTTCGTGATATCTCATGCAGGGTTACACGTCTGCATCTTACAAATGTGCTTTCAATCTCCATATTCCCAGACTGATTTTCTTTCAGTTTCAAGGTAATGTTTCCCCTATTGCTCAGAAAATCACCTGTATAGTGGAGAGATCAGTCTGCTGTTTATATGGTGTGCCTTTCAAATTCCTCTCCCAAACAGACTGTTTGTAATATATATATCATTTCTGGGATATGGCATTCATTAGCATTGTCAGATAGCTTGGACTTGTAAAGCAAAGAGTGCCCCAGAATTCAGGGCAGTGCAGAATGCCTGTAAAGCATTTCAGGATCACTTTTAGGTATGACAGAAAATATCACGGTAGAACAGACCAAGAAGCGAGAAAGTATAAAATGAAAAAACAGGCATTTGACTTTGGATTCCTCTCCCAACACTATGAATTACGTATGTAGGTGCCTTAAGTTTCTCTACTCCCTTTATGCATAGCAGAGCTTTGGTTCATTGTTACAGAACTATCTTCTGACTCTCAAGTTGCCCCCTGATAGATTTGTTTGCCTTAGACATCTGCAGGAAATTTCCTCTTCTCATGTTAGTTTTCATTCCATTTCTTATGAGAAGTATGCTTTCATCAAGGAAAATACTGCTTGCCTTTTCTCCAGTGAGGAATTTTGATCAATGGAAAGGACTGCTGCCAGTTCTGACAATTATAGTATCAGGATCTTTTCCACCTCTTAACTGAGGAGTCTGAGGATAGATCCTCTCCCTTGTCTTCAAAGCTGTTGATTCAGCATGCCGGAACATTAATCTTTCTCAGTCTCAGATCATGGCACAGCAATGGATTCTAGATAGCTGTTGTCACTAAAGTATGTCCATCTTTTGCATTAAAAAAGGTTCCTTATTAATACAGAATGATCTCCACAGTTTTAGTCAAGGTGCAGCTGCTTCCCATCTCTGCAGTTCATCCTCAGTTTAGTCCTCAGTAGGACTAAAATTAATGCTCAGGCCTCCTATAACATTTGAACCCCTGTGGATTTCATTGTTAGTGTATACATTACTAATTATTATCCCTGGCAAACTCACAGAATGGTTGAGGTTGGAAGGTAACTCTGGAGGTCATCTGGTCCAACCCCCTTGTTTAAGCAGGGTCACCTAGAACAGGTTGCCCAGGTCCGTGTCCAGATGGGTTTTGAATATCTCCAAGGACTGAGACTCAACAACCTTCCTGGGCAACCTGTACCAGGGCTCAGTCGCCTGCAGCAAATAATGTTTCCTTATGTTCAAACAGAACCTCCTGTGTTTCAGGTTTTCCTCATTACCTCTTCTGTCACTGGACACCACCGTGTGGCTCAGTCTTCTTTACACCCTCCCTGCAGATATTTGTACACATTGATGATATCCCCCGTGAGTCTTCTCTTGTCTTGGCTAAACAGTCCCAGCTCTCTTAGCCTTTCCTCACAGGAGTGGTGTTCCAGTGTCTTAATCATCTTAATGACTCTCTCCTGTAGTTCCGTATCTTGTACTGGGGAGCCCAGAACTGGACAGAGTACTCCAGGTGTGGCCTCCCCAGTGATGAATAGAAGGGAAGATCACCTCCCTTGACCTGGTGGCAACACTCCTCCTAGTGCAGCCCAGGATACTGTTAGCTTTTTTGCTGCAAGGACACATTGCTGGCACATGTTCAAATATGACAGAATATGTTCAACTATAGTGAATGTTCAAATGTGAGAGAGACATTCTTTTCTCAAAACAGTGAGTGATCAGTTGTGAGTGAGCCCCTATTTTGGTGTTCTTCTCTGGCAGGTTATGGTACCAAACTTGCCTCATTGTGGCTTTTGAATTTCACCACCTGTGTTTCCAAAGTCAAATATTTTGGAAGTCAAAACTGTACTTCACATCCTTGATAACAGGGAGCATTATGTTAATAGTACCAGGTCCACCCAATAGTCTTGAGATTTATCCATGTCAGTAAGTGACCAATCCAAAGGAAATGCCATATCCACACAAATACCAAAAAGGCTAATAGGCCGTGTCAAAGCCTTTTTCAAGATTGCTGATGTCAAGCCTTTTTCAGTAATCAGACCTATAGCTATCAGTGACTTTTCTGAGAACTGTTTTCATTCCCAGAAATTCCTGACCTGCACCTTAAGCTCTGCGTGTTCCTTTGTGGTTGCCCTATGTCATTGCAGAGTTATCTAGTGTTAAAGTCAATTGCAGTTACTGGAAAACTCCTGTAGATACCTCATCCTGAAACCATCTCTAAGTAAATCTGAATATTTAGTCTTCTTGTTCAGAGTAAGTCTGTGGATGTTCATCTGGATTGCTTCTGAAAACGGAAAGATTAGAAATTATTTTGAGATACATATTTCATATGTGTATTCTCTTACTGACTTCCTTCTCCTCTCCATTATACTGTTAGTATACCTGATGTGCTGGATGTAAGTGACATTGGGCATGCTCTACTTTATATGTCCATGTACTGAGTATGAAGAAAGACAAAAAGTGAGTGTACCTATTATGGACATAACAGAGTTTTCAGGCTTAATTGGTAGGACATATACACGTACTGTGTGCTCACATCCCATCTCAGGATCTCTGATTACTTCTAAATATCCTGTCATTGCATTGCTGTATCACTGGTGCATTCTGATACAGCTAATAAATAATTAATCACTATTTCATTTCAGAGTTAATTTTTTTGTTTAAGTCTTTCCACCATAGCAAGCACGACAATGGTGCATTTGGATAAAATATAGAAAAAACAAATTCAAGCAATAAAACCTTTAACATTTGCCCACAAATAAAAAAGACTCAAAATCTAACTTACTATCAAAAAAAGGGAGATGAGACAGAGATTCAGTGAGATCTAGTAGTGCTTTAACTAGTGCTAATGCTATTGTATGGAAAGGCATTCTGTTCAGATTTTTCGGTAACAGTCAGCAGTATAAAATACTAAGAAAAGTAGCTTGTTAAGAAAGGTAGTTTGTTTTTCAGTACTGTAAATTTTATTTGAGCAAAAGTCTGTTCATAAAGAATTTTGTGTCACAGAAATCTGCAAAATCAGGTTCACAGACATCTAAGGTAGAATTTAAATGATCTAAACATAGAAATCTAATGCTATGGAGGTGCCTTAGATTATCCAAGACATCTGTAGGGGGGACATATGATGCAGATCAAATATGAGCATCAACTGGAACATCAGCTGGAGGCCAGGTGGGATATCCTAGGGCATCCCTCACTGTGCAACTGAATTGACTTTCTACTGTGTGATCCAGTTTCAGAGTAAAACACCTAAGTGTAGATGTCCACATGTAAACTGGCTGACTCTGCTGAACAGCTATGTTCCACTGATGGTATCGACTAGATTTTCACTGGCTAGAATAGGAGTTTAGAAATTTTACACAAATGCAGGCTTGTTAATTGGGAGTTGTATTACATCCCTACTATATTTTCTTATATAGTTATTAATTTTTATAGTAGAACTGACAGCATTTTTGTTGTTATCTTGAATAATAATAAAAAAATTATGGTAGTATTTGTTCTTGCGCATTCAATGTTTTTTCATGTGTAGATAAAATAGAGGGGAAAAAATACTTCTTTTCTAAATGTATTCTTTTCAAAAGGATTCAATGTTATTTTAATTTGCATTTCACAATATTTTTTCTTCTAGACAGAAAAAGGGAGTGCACTACATGAAGCAGCCCTTTTTGGGAAGGTGGAGGTAGTACGTATTTTGCTTGAAACAGGTAAATCTAATTTACAGGAAACACTGAACAAATATCCTTAATATTCCTAATCTGGTGTATGCTGCCTCAAGTTTTGGTTATACAAATTACAGTTATCTTTCTCAGCCTTTGCAAATCTAATCACATGTAACTCTCTTTAAAACAGTGTTCTTTTAGAATAAGAAATTACTATACAGAGAACAAAAGGAATGTTTTCACTAAGACTCAGAAATTCCATATATGAGTCAGTGTATGCCACTGTATTCTGAGAATAAATGTACTCTGAGAACAAAATGGGTACATAAAGTTTTGTTATTCATTCTGAAAGACAGCCAAGAATATTCTTCGATCTAGAGGCCAGAAGACTCATGTTCGCATTTATTTCCTTCACTCAGCTGTTCCTAACAAATACACCATCCTGCTTGGTCCTGCATTTCCTGAATAAACTTTGAGTGCCTGTGAAGACAGGGGAAGGCACTGTGTCTTCGAGAATTGCATTTGTCCTGAAAGGACAGGAGAGCAGGGATATAGAGTCCCAACAAACCCGTCTACTACATAATAAGAGTTTCAGAATTGTTGCAGGTGAATTACTCATCTAACCAGCTGTCTTCTCAGCTAAATGAGAAGACCAATGAAAATGCAAACAGCTAGAAATTACTTCTCTGAGATATGTGAACTTCCATTACACTAAGGGATCTCATTGATCTTTATTATCAGTGCTTGTGGGGGTTATATCTTGCAAAAGAAGGTATGTCTTACTCACAGCTTCTCATCTGAATCTCAGCTAGTGCATACCTGATCTGAGATCTGTTTTCAGAAAAAAAGGTCCTCCCAAGATGCTTTCCTGTTTGGATTAATAAGACGGAGGCAGAAAGGGATCTTCACCTTCACTAAAAGGTAGAGCCTTTTTGTATTATTTCACCTAAAAGAGGAAGGACTGGAGAACATCACACAAACATAGGAAGCCTTTAGACCTCAGATAAAGAATACCTCTTACAGATCAGTACACATTATAGCCTCTGCCAGAGTACAGGTGTACAAGACTGGAATAGAATCTTCACTGTGAATTCCTTCAACACCAAATGCTCTGCACTTCAGCAACACTCCCCACCTTCTGCCTTTTTTGTCTAACAATCCCCTTTTCTCTACTTCTGCTTCAAAAAAGACTCAGAAGATTTTATAAGTAGCTACTGCAAACGAAAGGTGTAAGTTGGTGTCTCTGGCCTCTGAAAATCAGCTGCCACTGCTAATTAGCCCAGCAATATTTTGGCTTTATTTTCAGTGAGAAAACAAGTATCTCTTTCTCACAAAACAAACTAGGAAACTCTCCATCATGTCAGGAAATTGCAAGAAATGCAGCATTTTCGGGTGAGTTGAGAAATCCTTCCATGCTTCTAGAGTGTCCTTATAAACCCTGCTTCCTCTGATTTCCTCTATCCAGTGTCCCAAGAAGAATCTCATTCCTTATGACCTTTCATGCCTTTACTTTTTATGAAAGTACATCTAAACTAAAAAAAAAAAAACAACTTCAGTCTTCCACCATAAGGCAAACATTTCCAAAGTAGCCCCTACAAGACAAAGGTGGAGAGTCATGCAGTATCATGTACCACAGGTCCTCTGAGATCTATCCAGGATAAGCCTCAAACTTATTTATGGTTACGTTCACAGTTTGAGCCAAATAATTACTATGTCATCAGTCTGAACAGTCTGTGAGGAAATGCCCTGGCTATTCACACAGCCCTTATATTACATACATATGGGTATTTCAGTCTACTCAGAGCATGAATTTCAAACATGTCGCCATGAAGTACAAAACTTTTAAGGTTAATAACTTTTTCAGTATTGCTCCCAAAACACATACTGGTACTATGGACTAGAAAATCCCCAATGAATCAGAGCAGCCGGGGAGAATTAGAATCCAGGAATGTAGGAAAAACATTCAGAGAAGTTCTTGATTTTATAAAATATTATTTTCAGGATGTCTGTTTCTTAGGAACAGTCTGTTAAAATAATCCCAAGTTTGGTTTAAGAAGCTTACTTTATAGCCCCTTGAGTTACAGAAACATAGAAACAATCCATGTCAGCATGTGAATTTTAGGCTACTCAAGCTTTAAACAGAAATGGATGCTGTACTTTAACTATAACACAGCTGTTAATCTGCTCCAGTTGTAAAACCGCTTGCATTCAATTTGCCAGATAATTGAGTCTGATATGCCACATTTATAATCAGTAGTACTTGGGGTTAAAAATTCCACCACAGATCTTTTTCTTTTTCAGGAATTGATACCAACATAAAGGACAGTTTGGGTAGAACAGTTTTAGATATTCTTAAAGAACATCCATCTCAGCAGTCACTCCAAATTGCAGCTCTACTTCAAGGTAAGTCATATTCAGTTATACATTTGTTAGAGACAAATCTGAATAGTATGGAGGAATATTGAGTTATATAATAATTTCTACTCTTTAAATATTTCATTATGCAGAAGAGTAGTCTTTTGAATTAAAAAGAAAATTCTTGTTTGCTAGATTCACAAAACTAAGTGGTTGAATATCTGAATTTCAGAGTAAACCCTTTCTTTTTTTCTGACAATAGACAGTAGCATGGTGTGCCACTCATAGTTACTCTTTGTACATTCTTCATTACAAAATAACGTATTATTTCACTGCAGTTCCATTAAATTGTGATGGTAATCTACAATTGAAATGCTTGATTTGTTCATAAATACAACTGTGACTGAAAGATGATGACAAATTTTCAAAACATTTTACTACATTTTCCTCATTTTCCTTAAATTTCAAAAAAAATAAATCAGGCATTAACTCTTGTCATTATAGCAGAAATAATATAATATTGTTGTACATATGTTTGTTCTCATTCCTCATCTTATTTCCATGGTGTAAGACTGATGGAACTCCATTGTTTACATCAATTTTTTACTCTAGAAGATGGCAGTAAAGTGATGAAACATGAGCTAGTGCATAGTGCTAAACATCATTCCTTCTCTTCTGTGGAATTTGTTCCCTGCATTTTCAGATTAGTCTTTCATTAACTGTGTTTGACAGAGGAGTTCCCTGTAGGTATCAATGCTGCATCTCCACCTGTGTTGATTATTCCCATCTTTAAATAGACCATTTTAATCAGTTCAGTGTTGGTTCTATGTATGAACTAGCTCATGCTTCAGTCTCCTGCATAACTGTATTTCATAAGAACACTTCCTAGAGAAAATGAGGTCATGTGGCTACACTGTGTCCTTCAGGTTTTCTTTTCTGAATAACTTCTAAACTTGTTAGCCAGCTTCAGTAAAGTTTTCCAGTGAGATAATGGACCGAAGATGCAAAGCTCCTTTAAGTATAATGAAAATTTTGCAGGCTGGAGGAGAGGTATTCTCTTAAGGAGCAGATTCATCTTATAGCTGAACTGAATTAACAGCTTGCCCTGAGGTCCCCCTCTCTCCCTCCTTCCTATTTTCTTTTTCCCTTTCCCCCATTCCCCCCTTTCCTCTTCCCCTACTTCCAGCTACACAGTTCCCTTCCATAATCCCTGCTTACAGGAGATTGCAAAGTGATCCAATTCAGTTCATGAAACAGTACTATGTAAAATATATAATTTATTATATTACCTATATTTGATAGTACGTAACAATAATAAAAAATAAGATATAATTATATGAATATGCATTTGTTTGTTTTAATGAACTTGCCTCCTGTGTGATTCAGGTCCCAGAGTTAGGTCTGTCCCAGGTAACTGGCAGAAATGTGCATTCAAAAAGTGGGGAGGAAAATATGGGTGAGGGAAATAGGACTTCCCCCTATCAGTGGGAGGGAGTTCCTAATTTGACTCAGACTGTATGGAGAAACTTCACATTTTATGTCCTCATTCAGCTTCAGTGTGAACATAGCACTATGTAGAGGAAAAGAGGGTTAATGTCATACTGAAACTTCTTCAGTAGCAAGAAAAGGGTCAGTCAGAGCTTCCACTTTCTTAGACATCCAAATCAATCATCCTTCAGATATTAATCTAAGATTCATTATAATGTCCCATCACCAACTAAACTATTTTTCATTTTAGTATCTCTTCATTTTTCCATTTTCTTCTTAGTGTGATAACCCTGCAGTCTCAGCCCCACTGATAAACAAAGTTTCTTCAAAGTACCCTTGCTCTATGAAAAATAGAGCATCCCAAACCCCTCTCAAGGGTTTGTCATGTTGATGGATCAGTATCTGCCCTTAATGTTTACCACAAAAAAGAAATACATCAATTTCAAGGCTTTTTGGTGCTTTGACATGCAATCTTTTTCACGTGTGCCTTGAAAATATAAAGACGACTGCTTAGTAGTTTCAGCTCATATTAGTATGACGAAACTGTGCTTGTAACAAGCAGCTGTTTGTTTTTGCTCTGTCTGCCTTATAGTCAGAAGTGATGTGCAAGGATGAAAAATGTTTACAAAGATGCCATTCTGAGTCTTAAGAAAACCTGAGGACTCCGTTCAGAACTCCCCTGTGGAACCCACTGAGATTCTTTTTCATCAGCAAAGGGTTCACTGAAGCTTTAATCATCAATGATAAAGTTTGAACGGTGAGCTGAAGTTGAAAGATAAAATCAGGAGTGGCAGGATTCAGTACTAGCACTGCTGATGATACAGTAGACCTACCCTCCTCTAAAAAGTCAGTTGAGTATACTCTTCACTGAATTGTGGGCATTTATCCTGTTGTAGCTGAAAAATCAGTGAAGCACTGGGATTTTGGGAAACCTGAATGTACTGTAACTGAGATCGATTTCAGTGGGTAATGCATTCCATGCAAAGAAAGGGCAATTGCTGAGAGTTAGTGGCTTCCAAATACATTCCTCTTAAAGCTCCTGTCTTCAGATGATTGTCTAGAGAAGCTTGCATGTCTCCTTCACATAGACTTATAGGAAAAAGAAATCAAATTAATGGCATCAGACCATAATCTGACCAGATTTTCTAAGTTTCTTCCTAATTTTTTTCTTTATGCAGACACAATGGCATTGAACTGATTCTTTCACCTTGTTGCCAGGATAGAGTAAGATTTATCACCTAGCATTCTTATTTTTACCATTTCCCCCTTGCATTGTTATGATTGTTGCTGTACAGTTTATAGTATTAACATAGTATAATATTTGTCCCTGCCACAAGACATTAGCTTTCAAAATATAAAACAAGGGCTGAAAGATGCATATAAACAGACTGGCAGAAACGGACAGGGAAATAAGGTGACTGGTATTACTGGTGGTCCTGATAGGTAGTGTTCTGTCCTATATGCAGACGGGTAACAGAGTTGTAAGAAAAGTTTTGAAAGAAAATGAGTTGAGTTTGAGGATATTTATGAGAAACTTCTTTGAAGGAGGAGAAAGTAATTTATGTCTTTAGAAGCAGTTCATGGAGGCAGTAATACTTAAATCCATTCGGCTGACATACAGCACTGGCAGCCTCCAGAATTTAAGAACTGTGGGTAGAAATTTCTATTGGTGTTCTCCCTTTTTTTAAGAACATTTACAAAACTACTTTTTACAGATTATAGGTTAAAAAGAAACAAAACCTTTTGCCAGTGAGGTTTTAGAAGTGATCCTAGTGTTTTTGTGATATTTACTCTACATCTTTTCTCATTATCCTGAGAAAATAGTAATTGAAGTTTCTGCAAAAATATTTTTTTTGCGTTTGCAAAGTCTGCCATCTTTTTGGAGATTTTGGCTCATTATCTGATAGAGGGAAAATAAATAACAAAATCACTTTAAAGAGCAATGTGAAAAAAGCTATATTATACACCACCTGAATGATTTTTTACTGACTGTTAATTATAGGTGCAATTATTAGAAATAACAGTTCAAGTTTTAATTCTTCATCATTCATATATGTCCCATCATTTTCTGTATCTTGCTCAGGTCTGAGTTGCACTGAACTCAATTAAAAATACTTATTACAGTTTAGATTCTTTATGTGGTAATGAAGAAATAGCTGTTTAGGCATTACGTACTCAAAGAGCAGAGAATTAGAATACTGTGCCAAGTAAGGCCAGTCTACTGGATGCATTTCATGGGTGTAGTCAAACAACAGCATTCAGTGCTGAAGCAGTTAACAGTATTAGCACTTAAGGCTTTATAATTAGGTATTGAAGATAAAAGGGATGTTGCCAAGGCTAGTAGGCCTAAAATTAAACAGACCAGCTGTGTTTTAGTTTTAGCACATGTGAACGTGACGCAGGTGCATGCTATACCATCTTTTAACTCTTTCTCCACAGCCCACTATGCTCTCTATTAGAATCTTGCTCTTTTACTATTTCTGGAAGCAGAATTCTTGTTATTATGAAAAAAAGGAGATAGTAGATAAACAGATGAAAAATGACATGAGCTCTGGGAAGGCACAATAAGCTCTGCTGCATAGACAGTATGAAGGGAGATGTAATGGAAAGCTGCTTAAGAACCTAACATTGTTTATACATGTTACCAAATTATTCATAAATGGAAAATGCATAAGCAACTGCAGAACCAGGACTCTTTTCTTCTCCCCTCTGCTTAAATAGCTTTGGTGTCATTAGCACAGGCTTTCTATTGTTTATTCTCACTCTCTCTTTCTCTCCCTCTCTTTCTGTGGACAAGTAGATCTTCCATTCCCTTGAGTGCAGGAGGCCAGCCTCACTGGAAGGATGGAATAAGTTTCCAGTCAAGAATTTCATTACAGCTGTGTGGGATGAAAAGAATCCCCCTTTTCATTGGTTTTTTTTTTTTTTTCTGCGGACTTCTCAGCTCCTTTTATAGGCTATTGTGTAAAAGCTGTAGAGTATTAACTAAGTTTATGAATTAATTTAACTTCTGTTGTTTTGGAGACTGAAAGTTTAGCTGTACCCTTACCTGTCTCAGGATCATAGCAGTACTTCAGTGCTTGTTTCTGTTTATCTTCCCTGAACACATGCACAAAAAGTCTCCTTATGTTCCGATAACTTAAACATCTACTGATTTCAGGTTTCTCTGGGATTAAGTCAAACTTGAGTCATTCAGAATTGTCCTCTGAAATTTAGGAGACTGAAGTCAGCCCAGCCTCTGTCTCAGCTCAAGTCTGTCATCTTAGCACACCTGAAGGTAGCGGTTACCAGTCGGTTTTCTGTAACCGTTGCTTCTGTAAAGAGAAGAGGAATTGGGTCATGAAGCCTCAGGTGGGCTCCTTCCCAGGTGAGCAAGTGAGCTGTTTTGGGACAAGCTTTTAGAGAGCTCATGGGCTGGGGCAGGACTCAATGGAGCTGCAGGATCCTCAGCCAGATGCTGGCAGAGCCCTGGGGAGGGCAGAGGGTTCTCTGCTGCCCTTCAAGAAGGCATGGAGTGAAGGAGGAGTAAGGATCCCCCTACAGGGACGTGGGCTGTGGAGGGGAGTGGTTTCTAAGCCAGTTTTATTCTTCTGATCTATTTACTTGGAGAGTCTTCTGTTTGAAAAGGTGAGTGTTCAGATTTTTATTCTAATCAAATATGGCTTTTTTAGAATTTAAAAAGCATTTTTGTCTCTTTAGGGGAGGTCACTCTAGGGAGAAACTATGTGAATCCACCCCATGGCATGGCTGAAGTAGGCTCTCAAAACACAAGGGAAAGGAGCTCATACTTCATTTTAAAATAAAAAAAAAAAAAAAAAATTGGGGGGGTGTTTTTTTCCATTAAAAGAAAAAGTAAAAAGTTCTCTGAGGCTAGTGTAGCCATTAACTTTAAAAGCCAAGGTTTATAAATAAAGCAAAAATCTTGACCCTTGCATGTCACTGAGGAATTAGGACCCAGAGGAGCTGAAGTTAAAGCAAGCTGTGCTGTAGAGCCTGAGCTTTTACTGCCCCTGGAAGCTCAGCTGCAGCTGAGCTGGGTCATGTTCTCTTCATGGCTGACCTTCCTGGCTCTGGCCTCTCTGCAGAGACACAGCTGTGTTTCCCTGCTTACATGTTAATGCTTTCCCTTCTGCTTGGCTTTGGCCTAACTGGTGTTACAGAAACTGAGAAAGCTGGAGTTCCAGCAGTTTGAACTCTCTGGTGCTTGTTACCTTCTTAAGTTCATATTCCCCACTGCTTTTATTTCCACTGCTGTGTGACCACTTTTATGCTATTACTTTTTGTGCACATGGCCCTATTTAGATTGAGTGGGGCTATGTTAAAATCAGATAACTGTAAAAAAGAATGCTACTAAGCAGGCAAAGTTTTTGAGATTGTTAGTGTTAATCCTCACTGAACTATAATCTGCCATTTTGAGTCAACAGAAGTAAAATACTCCATTCTTCCCAAAGCAGTACAGTGAGGAAACATCTCTGAAGTGTGTATTAACATATGCTTCCTTCACCTGTTACATGCTAGTCATGCCAGCTGTCTTTCAAAAATGGAACAGGATGACAGTAAGCTAGTGAAGGAAGTGTTGTGAATCTGACAGGTCGTGTCCCAAACAGCCTTTACTCTCTGCTATCATAAGAATGACAGGCTTTTCTCTAAACAGTGTAGGACCACAGCTGGGGAAACTGTTCTGGTCATTAAGTGGTATAATTGACTAAGCTTGGCTTTGTTCTGAATTATGGTTTGGGTTTTTTTTTTTTTTTGGAGGAAAGTGATAGAATCCAGAGCAGTCTCTCAAGTACACCCTAGTCAGAGCAGATGATGGTAACAGTATGATCTTGTTCAGTAAGTTCGGGCAGGCTTTGAAGATGCATTTCTAGCCAGCTGCAGGTGAATAGAATTTGGTTGCTGGTGAAATCATCCACTGCTTGTGTGTGATTTGTCTTTGGCTCTTGATGTAGATCACCTGTTTTGTGTCTGTTTCTTTGATAATATTGTAGGTAAGTATAGTTTTACCTAGACTATAAGCATCTCACAACTGAGTCCATGTCTGTATTTGTCTTGTACCTATCCAGTAGAATTTTCAACAGTATTAAACCAAGTTAGGAGTAGAAGTCCCACAGAAGTCCAAAGTTTTAGAGGGTACACTCTTACAAGGATAGCACACTGTTGGCCTGTTCTAAACCTCTACACCATAATTTGTGCTGAGCCTTTTGTAGAGGTTTTCTGGAAGGAACTCTGCCATTTTTAAAGTAAGTATTTATGACACTTATGTTGAACTTGGGATTTCCTCCTCAGAACTAGCCTTCAGCAGGTAAGTGCATTGGTCTGAAAGTGGGGCCTGACAAAGAATAAAAATAGAGTGTTATTTTAAAACCACAGTCTTATATGAATATTGGACAGCAAGATTAAAGTCCTTCACAATCTCCCTTGCATTTCCTTTCCTAATAATATCTGTATTGATCCAATAATTTTAACACTCCCACCATTTTAGGTTTGCTTTTGGACAGTTGCACAATTATCAAGCACATTTTTTCAGGCATAAATTCCTTTTTTCCTTTTATTTTTCTTTGGATCTAGATTCCTTTTTATTTCTCCTCCATCTTGCATGTTAACTTGACAAATAATACAGCTGACAGAGCTGGAAAACATTCCAGAGCATTTTGTCATGCCACTCGTTTTCTCATGGTCTCTTACAGCTCATCTTTGCTTCTTTGCTTTCAGCACTACACAAAAAATAGAAGTGCCCATTTTCATATGAAGAAACGGATGACAGATTATCCAGGGGACCATTGCCAGCCATCAAACTTAATATATGACATTTTCAAATCATACATTCTTTTAAAAAAAAAAAAAAAACAACAGCCTGCAAAGCATTCTGAAACTGCATGCTGTTCTCTGCCATTTCCAATTTCATTTTCTCAGATGTCTATTTTATCACAGATTGTATTTGGGTTTTGGGATATGTTATTTAATCAAGAATAACAGCAAGCTAAACAAGTGTGTTGTAGACTGTAGAAATTAAATCAGGGAGATTTCATTTCCCAGAAACTCTTTAGTCCTTCAGTGTGATATTGATGAAAGCAGTTATTGTAGTTTGCTTTTGTGTGTGTTGCAACATGGACTGTTGTGGTTACTATGTGGCATCAGAAAGAACTTGTTTAAGCCACTTCAGAAAATCAAGAAAATGCAGATGTAGAATAACTGCCCGAACTGTGAACCAGTGACTCTACTGGGGAAAAAAGCGCCACTATTTCATCAATTAATTTCTAATTTATTATTTAATATTTGTCCTACAATAACATTCCTTAAGGTCTTGGTGTTCCATTGAGCTAGCCTGTGTACAAAAGCACATGAAAATCATGTATATATTTACACAAAAATAATAGTAATGAAATAGAAGTTTAGCATGCTTATTGTTTCATGTTGTTCTGTTTTTATAAACATCATCATGAAGGTGGGACAAGGGAAGTTTTAACGAGGAAAAGCACAGAAATTTTAGAACACTGCTTTTTAGACTGCTAGTTTTAAATAAATATTTGAGATTGCATTCTTTTTTCTCATGTACTGTCTCTGTGCTGCAAGCAGAATATGTGGTTTTCTTAACAGTATCAATGTATCTACTTATTGTGAACATCCGGAATATTTTGACTAAAAACTCTTAACTAATTTAGAATAAAAGAACACTCT